TTTTTTTTTTCTTTTTTTATTTTCTCCTTTTTTCCCTCCACGTTCTCGAGTTTACTATTATTTTGATGAAACGTTGCAACGGAATCCGAGGCTCAATGATCACTCTTATCGAAAGATTTTAGTCGACCAATGAATGTTAATATATTGCATTTAATACCTGATCGATAGATTTGGTCGAACGTCACGTTCCGTGCGAATGATGTGATATGAATATTGATAACAGGATTTCCATGTGACGCCATTTTACGGTTAAAGTAAGCGGTTTCTTAGAAGTAACAACGTTTCGTATAACAACAACAACAACAACAACAACAAATGTGTCTACTGTCCAAGATAGATTTAAGAAGAATACTTCGCAATTGTAACGTGGACTCTTATCAATTTAAAACTCTTGTCCGATTAAAGATGGTTGTTAGATTCTATTTATAACCTGTACTTCGTCGAAGCTATTGTTATCTTATTATCGTCCATGTTACGTGTACTAGGTGTATAAAAAAATATTCTCTGTTCACGATATCTTCAATGATATGAATCAAAACATTTTAATAATTCTAACAAGGACAGTCTGTGCTGATTATTAATGAAGATCTTAATTTGATTCGCGAGCTGCGACTGATGACACCGACATCGTGTGCTTATACAGCAGGTTGAAACAGAAACCGATCATCCTGATCTATCTATCGGTTTGTGCTCTGCACCGAATATGTGTTATGTAAATTCTTACGTATTCTCTCCTCGTGTTTTGTCTCGCAATACCATTGCGAAATTCGATGCACAAGCATGCTCATTTCTGTAAATATTAGACCCTGGTGCGTCAAGGTCGGTGCAACGATCGAAAGAATGAACGAATAGTTATTTAGACACCACGCGTTCGAGGCGAGATTTCTGTTGTCGTTACGATTGAAAACACGAGATCAATGAGAACTTAAAACTAAGTTGTGCTACTTCGACATACTCGACGAGCGTTAGTTTTTGCACCGAATCCTTGAAATGTACATAAATGCTCTGAATAAGGATTAAATACACACGTTGTTACGATTATTGCACACATTTAATGTATTTTGTAAGCCTAACTTTAAGCATTATGTTTGACGACAAGACTTAATTGTACGTTATCCATCAAATTATGTTCATTTACGTACGTCTCTGTATAAATAATATTGTACGTATTCGACTCACTTTATTTCTCACAACCTTTCCTTTGTCATTATCTAGTACTTACGCATCTTGATTGTTACTAATCAGCATAATATGTAAATTAAACGCTATTTACATCTGTATCAAGATAAATACATATGCATATGTATGACATGTTATCTAGAATGTAATATTAGTTAACTTAATAAGCTAGTCAAAAATATACATTAGCCAATGTAGTTTCTATTTATTCCCATCTACGTGCAACAACCACCTTGAATCATTCAAGAATTAAACAACTCGAGAAATGACATTGTTACAAATTGCAAATAATTCTTTATTCCACAATCTTTTAGAAACTACAATATGTAACGTTATCTTACTATTGTGTTGCAATAGGATTCGTTCTTAACGTAGGTTGGAATAGCTCAGTCGGTAAATCAGACTCTTAATCTGAGGGTCCAGGGTTCGAGGCCTCTGTTCGGGCGAAAAAAAAAAAACATTGTCCTTTAGAACAACAGCACGGGAGAGCTCTGTGTGTATAAAAAAAGGTTCCCGGAACTCTCCTAACGTGCGGAGGGATAGATATGGTCATCGTGGAGGTTTTTAGTCGGTAAGAATCCGACTACCATGGGGGTCTTCTCTTAAAAGACTCAGGCGGCTTATAAAGATTTCCTCCACGTAAAAAAAGAAAAAAAAAAAAGATTCGTTCTTAACATAATTCTGCTATAAAATTGTTTCGTTTGAGATAAATAGAAGGGTTGTTTTTATCAACTCGTAGATTTCAATCAAGCTACTATGCATTATGACAAGAATGATAAAGTAACTAGAATTCTGTTGGTAATATTTAAATAAATCTTTGATTAAAGGTAATTAATTGCCTTTAATTGCGATTTAATAATGTTTCTGATATTTGATCTTAAGAAGAAATAACATACAACTTTAGCAATGTTCCAGCATGAGAAATATACGAAGAATAGTCGTGATCACGATTAAATTAGTTGTATCCGGCAAAAATTTGTCGAAAATGACTCTCGCCATGAATATGGCAATCAGTTTGGGTAATGGTTGTATGTAATATGTACTTGGTGAAAAGTGAAGAAATATCGAAGCCAAGGATTATCAGTGGTATTAATCTACAGTTCCTCATTTAAAACGGAAACGATATGGAACATGTTATATATATTATATGAAAATTATAAGGTATATTATTATCATTGTACTTATGTAAGAATTTACAATTAACATAAATCACAAATTAATTCTAAATATCAATTAATAAAAAGATTGTAAAATTCGCAAAATTACAAAATTATTATGTTATATTGTAAACTGTATTGTCTTGTTTATATAGACTCTTCTTTGGATTCTATGGAACTTATTTTTACTTGTAAAAAGGTCATAAATTCATTCGATGTATTATATTATAAATTATGTACATTAAGTTCATTGCATCACTCTTGTGTAAATACATACTCATATACGATGTATGCTTAGTATGTACAATATACATATGTAATAATGAAATGCGCAAAAGTTGTCAATTACATCTATTAGATAAAAATAATCGATTAGATAAAAATTCATGCTCAAAGTTATGTGTGAATTTCACTGTGCATGCTTCTAATTTGACCTAAATTTTGTACATCGATTATGAGGAAATAAATATCATTGAAACAAGGGAGAGCTTTCATCTGTTGAATAGAATTTGTAAATTTTCATGGGATAAATGAAATATAAAAGGAAAAGAGTGAGTCTAGCATAGAGCACGCAGTTATAAAAAGTGCACAAATTTTTTTTTTGCAAATTAGTGCAAAATTTGGACATGGTAGTGCCATCTGTTGGTAAATTTCGGATACCGATTAACTTCAATTACAGGTGAGATATATGATCTCTCGTCTGTTTTGATCGTTCTACTTATAGTTCTCCAATTCACCGTTGTTTTAATGCAGAGTGTACTAAAAAAACCACTTTCTTTTTACTGTGATCTTTTTACCATGTCGGTATTTCAGAGCGTAGGACACGAAGTACTACAAGATAGAAGATCTGTCCACAAAAGTCCTATAAGATGCAAGATCCATATATAATCGTGTACTTTGTCTCTGTCTATGATCTGTGCATATAACTCGTTTGTGCCTGTGAATGAACTGAATTAATTGAGGATTCGGTAATGATATGTCGATAAATTATCCACTGAGTTTCTAGTCTTATGAATTACAGATGACGTGTCTGCCTGTGCCTATCTTCACGCGATACAAGTTATACAAATCGATCCATTTGTTTACCGAGGTCGTCTGCTATCCGATTGCAGTATTTTCAGATTAAACAATATTGTGTTCTAAATCGTTCGTTTATGTGACTTTAAACGGGAACAAAGCTGCAATGCCGGGGTCTGAAGTCAGTATCGTATCACACATCTTAAATGGAGTACGCGTCTTAAACGGGAGATATTAAATATTTGTTTGACAGTTCTGTCTGTCAAATCGTATCATTGTCAATAATTATATTGTTAATTGGAAATTTGGAGGAAGAAAATATAGTAGATATGAATTGAGACTTATCGATATTTTGTTCCTTCATTTCCCTTGTCGCATAAGTTTTCAGTACAGTGTAATATTCTCGCATTGCTTAATGATGCAACGATTCTTTATCTAGGACAGTACGACGGAACTCGGGGAAATAGAAAATGTCAGGGTTGTAGTGCGCGTTCGACCTTTGAATGGAAAGGAGTTGGACGGACACTCTAAGAACATAGTACGAGTGGACACGATCAACAGCGAAATAACTGTTGAAAATCCGAATGCTGCGCAAGGAGAGCCACCAAAGGTTTTCTCATTCGACGCTGTCTTCGATACTGATTCCACTCAAGTTGACATATACAATGAAACTGCAAGACCTATCGTGGACAAAGTTCTCCAGGGCTACAATGGAACGATATTTGCATATGGGCAAACAGGCACTGGTAAAACGTATACCATGTCTGGTGCGAAAACATCACCGCAACTCAGGGGTATCATCCCTAATACTTTTGCACATATTTTTGGACATATAGCCAAAGCTCGTGACAACCAAAAGTGAGTATTTCGTACGACAAACCCCTCGTTGGTACTTGACTGTTTATTCAATGTTTGATCGACAGGTTCCTTGTTCGTGCAACTTATTTGGAGATTTACAACGAGGAAATCAGAGATTTACTTGGCAAGGATCAAAATACCAGACTGGAAGTGAAAGAGAGGCCAGATATTGGAGTATTTGTAAAAGATCTTAGTGGCTACGTAGTCAATAACGCTGATGATCTAGATCGAATAATGTCTCTTGGTAACAAGAATCGTAAGTACTCAGACGTCCTTACAGAGTGTACAATTTTGCAAATTGAGTGTTAATGCAAGTTTTTATAGTAATGGAAATGTCTGCGCCTCTTATACATTGTACACGATAAACTGTTATAAATGTTTTTATATAATGTATAGGTGTTGTTGGAGCTACAGCAATGAATGTATCGAGTTCACGGTCTCACGCAATATTTACCATCACAGTTGAATCTAGTCAGCTTGGAGAAGATGGCGAACAACACGTTAAAATGGGAAAACTGCATTTAGTTGATTTAGCTGTATGAAATTCTTATTCTTATTCTTAGCATTGCATTGTATTTTAGTTTTAATCTTTTCTCAATGTTACACCTCGGTGTTCTATAGGGTTCAGAGAGACAAAGTAAAACGAAAGCTTCTGGAGTTCGCTTAAGAGAAGCCACGAAAATTAATTTATCACTCTCCACACTAGGTAATGTAATATCTGCATTAGTTGACGGTCAGAGTTCACACGTGCCTTACAGAAATTCCAAACTCACAAGATTACTGCAAGATTCTTTGGGTGGTAACTCAAAAACGTTAATGGTAACTTCATTAATTTTCCCTCTTTTCCTACGAGCATTGTAATTATCAATTGTGATAATTGTGTCAATTATCTTCATTTAGTGTGCAAATATCAGTCCAGCAGATATAAATTATGACGAAACTATCAGCACGCTTCGTTATGCGAACCGTGCTAAAAATATTAAAAATAGAGCAAGAATTAACGAAGACCCAAAAGATGCTTTGCTTCGGCAGTTTCAAATTGAAATCGAGCAATTACGGAAACAACTGGAGGAAAATGGTGCCGAAATCTCTGAATCTGAAGATGAATCTGAAGACTCTGAGGAGACAGGAGGAAAAAGACACGATAAGAAAGCCCGACGTCGGAAAAGTCAGATACTAACAATGGAAGAATTAGAAGACAGAGATATAGATTCCAATGAAAAGATTGATAAAGCCGAAAGAGAAGATAAAAGTCCCGACGACAAAGACGTGATTGAATTGAAAAGAACCCAGTAAGTTTTTTAGAAAATTAGTTAAAAGGTACTGATAAAGAGCATTTGTTAAATATTGACTGTATCATTCCAGGAGCGAAAAAGAAGCATTACGTGAGAAAATGCAAAACCTACAAAATAAGATCTTAGTCGGAGGTGAAAATTTGTTGGAGAAGGCAGAAGCTCAAGAGCAATTATTGGCTGCTGCGGCAATTGAACTTGAACAACGTAAAAGCAGAGAAGAACAATTAAAAAAAGCTATCGAAGCAAAGGAAGCTGAACGTATAGACATAGAAGAAAAGTATTCTTCCTTGCAAGAGGAGGCAGCGGGGAAAACTAAAAAATTAGCTCGCGTACATACGATGTTAATGTCTGTCAGAGCAGAGTTATCTGATTTACAGCAAGAACATCAAAGAGAAATGGAAGGGCTTTTGGAAGGAGTCAGAGGTATTGGGCGAGAATTGCAACTTCAAGAGCTAATAGTAAACAGTTACATTCCTGTTCAGTACCAGGTATGAAAATACAATACATTTCACGAAGAAACATTAAGCATTTTTCACCAAAAAATTTCTATGTCAATCCATGTCTATTTTAGACGATGATTGAAAGATATGTTCATTGGAACGAAGATATCGGAGAATGGCAGTTGAAGTGTGTAGCATATACAGGCAATAATATGCGCAAAGCACAAACTACGCCACCGCTGGGAAGTAATAAGGATGTATGTATGAATTTTACAAAATTAACAGTTAAAGTCATCATATTTATGATTATATTGATTTTTAGCAAACTCAACCAGATATGTCAAATATATATTTGTCTTATAACAACGGAATCGACAATACTTTTGTGCAACCAAAAAAGGTACGAGGCCGATCTGGAGTACCAAGGCCAACTACAGCACATAGACGTACCCCACATTAAAGCTATGTTTAATTTATGAAACGATAAAAGTATTTATTTTTCACTGAGTATCGTTTTTTAGCATCTTTTTAAAGACATTATTCTAATTTATTTTTGTTTATACGGTATACAGTAGAAAATCAGTATTTTTTGCATTTTTTGCGATTATATATTTATTTCTATTTTTAATTAAGT